CCACAAACAAAAAATAAGTTATTTTTTTTTAAAAATTACAATAAATTATAATAAACTTAATTAAATCTGATATTTCAACGATTAAACGTGGCGAAAGTTATTTAAGGTATCCGTAACTCCAAATTATTTCCTATATTATTATAATATAATAAGTTATAATTAGAGTGATGTTAAGAGTTAGCAAGAAACTGCATTTATTATAAAACCTTTCTTCGTCTTGTCAATGCAGCTAACCTCGACCTATTTTCGCCTGTGATCGGTTAAGGTTTTATAAATCATATTTTGACGTAAGGCAATACGTATTAATGAGAATCCAGTGCAGTATAAATTCTGTATAGGACAATGCATAAAAAGATGAAAAATATACTCTGAGCATATTCGAACCAAAGATCCCATGTGCAAACGACCTAAACTAAAGCAACGTAAATACATGATTCGACACGAACACTATGAGGCGAATTTAAAAGTGTGGGGACTTGTATTTCATAATCATAAAACGCGAGTCTGATACTTGTTTTATACATGTCTGATCACATATAGGACTCTGTATATTTTATAGTTTGTATGAGAATTTATTTGAAATCCAAAGTTTTCTTCTAACAAGATTTTAAATATTCATGAAAACGTATAAACTTTCTTGAATGCTGTGATACGAACACCAGCGGATAAATAATTTGTATATAAGATAAGTAAAAAGTTGTCTCAGTGTTAACGCGACGCCATGATGATATACAGCGTGTGCCTCGTAAAAGGCAGCCGATTCACTCACAGTTAAAGCGATCCGTCAGATGCCTAATTTAACAATTTAAAAATATTAATTTCCCAACGCGTCCCCACTACAGATATAAATTTGTTAATGTTGATTAAGGAAATAACCCGTTTATTTTGATAATGATACCACAGCAATAGACATATTTTCTAATAAAATTCCGTGTTATTGAGCGTTATATAATATGGTACATATAGTTACCACTGTGCTTTAAATTATTATAATAACGTAGACAAAACTGGGCATTCAGCTGGTGTAGAAAAAATTCATCTGAAAGGTTACAAACTCTCATAATTCAGACGGAACTGGGTTGTAGGGACGTGTAGTCTGGTAGAAGTTTACCGACGTTTCAGGGGTCCTTGCTGCCTCCATCATCAGGGCGATGACGGAGGCAGTATGACCTCTGAAACGTTGATTAACATCGACCAGACTACACAGCGCAATAACCCAGAAGACAGAAATCTTCATACTCACCGCTGTGAGAACCTCAAGTCTGTCACAATTGTTAAACGATTTAAGAACTTTCATAACCACAAAAACTATATCTGATATTTATTGACAAAAGGAACCTACAAAGTTTCAAAATAAATGCTGCTATAAATCCACGTTGTGCAATTAAGTTCAAAATGGCATACATCCTACATGATACCACGACTTCGCACAGAGTAATCGAAAATGCAAACATGCAAATCTGCATTTCTAAAGAACTTCCTTGAAAGTTCCCGAGGGGGAAACTTGTATCCCAAAATGTGATCAAAGTTAATGGAAAAGTGACAAAACTTCCTACAGAATCGTGATAATGCCAATGAGATACAGATTCTGGACAGCTTCTTTGTAGTAGGGACATCTCAGTGTCTCTAGCGGTGAACAGACGAACAATAAGTTTCGTTAACACACTTATCTTAACTCCGCTACATTACACGAAGAAACAGCCTCTGTGTATGGCTTGCTTTTGTTCTGATGTACATCAAAACCACTTCACAGACAACAGAATGTAATCTTTTATAAGAATATCGACGCTGACTAAATTTACAGTTTAGGTGTTCCATTATAGACCAACAGTTATTTAGAATTTCAAAACATTTTATACTTTTAAGGAATATTAAAACCACGCCATTTAACTACACTGAGACAGTTTAAATAAATTCCAATATTTGTCCTGTTTTATACGACCCATTTTAATATTATTTTCTACGTACAACCAATTTCCACACACACACAAAAAATCTTAAATTTCGCAAACAACTTCTTAATGATCTTTCGTCTCCCTCGTGCGTGTTACATGGGCCGACCCATCTTCTACCCATAATAATAACCACTATAAAAATACTAGTGAGTCGGACAATAAAATATATATTATATATTACATATTTTATTTGATGTTTGATTTTATAATGAACCACAAATTGGTATACAAAGGTTAAAGAAACCACTTAGAATGTTACATGAGGGTAAAATCTAATAGAAATCAAAGGTTTATCACGCTGTGTGGAAAAAAAACCCTTAGCTACACCATTATATTTGAGAAAAAAAAAATTAAATTTGATGGTCGCCATAGAAGTCATGAAAATATTCACTCTTTCGTCAAAAGAAATTCCTTTGGGCTCAACTGTTAGATCTACCTTAATACGAAAAAGTTCTTTCATCCGCTTGGCTCGCCACACGGCGTTGAACTAGCGAAGTGGATAACGCTGTCTCCAGGCCTGATCCCTGAATGAGAATTATCGCTTATCGTTTTTCTCTTTTCACTGTCATCACTGCCCTCTCACGTTGAAATTCTGAATGAAATGTACGGAAGGACTACTAAATGCGAACATCGTTTTCTGACTCATATTTGAGAGATCATTGGTTTAAATGCATCCTGAATGACAGACTAGATTGATATTTGGTTTTCTTTAAAACTCTTACAACCATTATTTCACGAGAAAAACTTGCAATTCTTTACTCTACACTGTAAGGATACTCCGACGTAACACAGTACTTAAAACTATTACATATTATATTTAAAAAATGTGATTATCATACCCAAGAAAACACACCGTTGATGATATATTTTGACTATTTTTATGATAACTCTTGGCTTTTATTTTTATAAATAAATTAAACCTATATTTAGCTTCCGTGAGGGACACGAAATTCTACGAACTTAAAACGAGGACACATACGTAATCTCATTTTACTTTCAAAACTGAAGTTACAAACGGCTAATATATTAAGATGGCTGTCTTATATGCTACTGTGTCGTGTAGTCTAAAAAAATTTCCACCGTTTCGGAGGTGCTTCCTGCCTCCATCTTCAGGGCGGGAATCATCGCTCTGAAGATTAAGGCAGTTGACTACACGGCGCAAAAACACATAAGACGAACATCTTCCTACTCGCTGCCTTGAGAACCTGAAGTCTCTCCATATAATAAATATTTATGGAAAATTAATAAAGCTGTCAAATAGAATTATCAACGATCGATAAATTGTAAAGGTTATCGAAAGAAGTATAAGTGGCCTATTTAAAAGTATTATCCCGTAATTTTCCTGGGGGGGGGGACTGAGGAAAACCACAACCGCCCGGATAACCTGTCTCCGATCCAAGTTACGAACTCCAGACTTTTGAATACAACGTAGGAGTGCTAACCACTCGGCCGAGACAATCGGTGTCTAAAACTGTGATGACTCTAAAGTAAATGGTGTAATCGAGATTATCACATATCGAAATCTATACAGGTCGATATCAGAATCGACTTCGTATCATATGGTGAGGATTTACGAGTCACAGGATTGAAAATAAATGTGTATAAATAATTGTATGTAAATAAATTACTTATGAACAATTTTATTCGTGATCGGGGTCTTTAAACGCAACTGTACCAACTGTAAAGTATATTCAGTAATAACACTGTTCACAAAATGGACGCACAGCGCAACAATTTCACTATATTATTGCCCGCCAAGACTTTCAGTTCGTGAATGTCAAATTTACGCTCTCTTATAAAGAGACAGAGTGAGAGACTAAGACTAGCTCGCTTATTTAAATAATAAGCGAGCCAGCTGTACAGAATTTGTCGTGACGTAGCCATGGCAAACGGAGTTCCTAAATTAAATTTCACTTCCCATATCAAAAGTCAAAACTAGTTAATACTATTTAAACAATTAATAACCGCTTGGCACAGATAACACAGCGCTAGGATGAAAGTACGATTTTCACATGAAATGAGCGTTATTATTATTAAATTTAATTAACTTTTCAATGGCTCAAAAACCTTTAGTAAAACTCACGAAAAATCTATTAAGTCTTTGAAGAGTTGTTACGTGCTACAGACAGACGGAAGAAGCTGTCTCCTGGCTCGTGATACAGTGTGATCTTTTACACGGTTACCAACGTTTCACACAAAATTACCGACTACATCTTCAGAAATTACCTCCGTGAGAGCTACAAATATCATTACATTTCATATATTAACAATACTTAAAAATGGTTGTTCCTTTTGAGGTCTTAATTATTTGATTTTAAATAATTAATTAAAATATAACGTCAACAAATCTATTGGGGAAAAAAAAATTACTGAATAGGCCTAATACGTAAAACTGTTTGCAAAAAGTAAGTTGGTAGCATTTTAAATAAATTTCCATTAAAGATTTTATAAACTTTCCTGGTGGTCACAGAGGTCTTATAAAGTTCACAATCTCTGTAATTTCTTTTCATGTACTTCTTCTGATTTATCTTATGCACGATTTTCCTCTTCAAATGCTTTTCCCACGTTCATATATTACTCAGAGTATACTATTACTCTCGACAATTGCATTAGCTACCTTTCAAACTTTTCCTCCATTTCCCTCCATACCGCCTGAGCCCTCAGACTTCAACTTCCTGTCTGATTGTTTAATTCCCCCTACAGAAAAATCCCGATTCTTAAATTTATAAATTTACTTTTAGCCAGAACCCTGCGATTCTAAAACTTTTAAAGTATTGTAAACACGAAAACCCGATAAACCTGACTTAAAAACGGAAACTGCTACGGAAATTTAACTTGCTTCAGGTTTTTTTTTTACGTATATAAAACGAAACTTCCTGTTAACCTACTCGTACAATTTCCGCTGTCGGAGAGTCACAAATAAAAGATGAAAAAAACACATTTCTCTCACTTGCCTTTAAGAACACTACACAAATCAATAACATCAAGGGTTTCAATGCGGTATATCTCGTGCATAACACGTACTAATTAATAGTTTCTACTCACATTGTCTGCGACATGACGAATTATGACGAATTTCCCGTCTCAAACCTTTCCACAACTTTGATACGATCAGAGAGTACGCTAGTGACATGATAATCAGTGGTACCAACAGTAACATGGCGTCGAGGAATATATTGTAGGCTCGCTCACTGGACTTGGAAGGCCACTCTTCCCGACACTTATGTCTCCCTGCAACGAAACAACGGATAAATAGAACTCTGTTTGTCAAACACAGCTTATAATTAAATCTAGCTATGATGTAACGCAAGGCGATATGAATATTATTCCGTTTGAAACAGATTTTGGTTCACGAAAAAAAAATATTTTTTACTGAAATAGCTAAAAATACATTATTAAATAACATTATAATAATCTTTATCTTATTTGGCAAAAATATTACACAGAAGTGTCTAAAACGTAAAAAAATAAAGATTTAATTTAAGCCAATTTTCAAAATTTACCTATACACGATAAATCTTTAATGACTTAGAAATTTTCGTTATGCAGTCCCGCAGAACAAATGTTATACGCTCTTACATGAAAACATCAGCCTTTACTTCGTTGGTTGTACAGATGGTGTTTTTAATTCATTCTTCCGTACTTCGTGAGACTTTTCAATAAACTTTACTTCAAACCTCCAAGCCTTAAAAATTATGAGAAGAACACGCAAGGCAGAATTTCAATTGTTTTTGTGAACAGACTGCTGAGAGAGAGAGAGAGAGAATGTAGATTCAAGAGAGGAAATGACAGGAGAATAATAAAAATAGTATAATTAAGAGCTTTATAATTTACACTAGTCACAGTAATAATAGGTTTTGTAAATGGATGATTATAAACTCAATTATTAAAGTACTTGTCGGTAAAAATACACATTTAAACCTATTTACACCGGTGAATGATGCGATAATATGGAACAGTGCTACCTACAGGCGGCGTATGGCTCAACTAACCGTGAGGGCAATAAACTCGACCATGGTGGTCTGAAGTGTTCGCACGTCACGTAATACAGAGCAAGAAAGCAAATTTGTATGATACAAGTGTCTGTGTTAATGAAACAGAAACCACAGCTCACGACGTTGACTAAAGATGTTTCCATTTGACATTTGTATTTGACTACGTCGGTTTAAGCCTGTATTTTATTACGAACATAAAACTTGGGTACATTCAACAATTTTTGGGACGGTTCATTAAATTGTTAGCCTTATACAATGCTTGAGTATAATTCCTTATTAAAGTATCTGTCAATAGCAAACAGCCTACGACATCAAACACTAACGGAACGAAACTAAATATAAATTAGACAATTTCCAAAGACGCAGAAAAAGTGTCCTCAAATTGCAATTTATTTTACATCTAAAAGCATTAATAAGAAATTAAGCATCGATATGTTTACTAAAATAAACTGTTCTGAAATTCAGACAATTCAGAATCAAATCATAATTACGTAAACGCAATACGCCGAAAAGTGATAATCAAACAAATTGACAATAATAATAATTCAATTCCTTTATTAACAACAAAAAACACGAGTAATAATTCCGATGATAAATTCTCACCAACACCGAACACTTGTTACATCATGTATTAATACCAACAGGTTGTCATAAAAACTGCAGGGGACAATATATTACGTTAAACAGTACGTTATGTTCTGAATTAACGTTGTGTTATAAACATTACAACAGAAAACAAAGGGTTCCATACTGGGCTACGAACATATAACACAAAACGGCAATGGGACAATCAATCGCTAGAACCAGTAGGAAATAGAGCCCCCCTGGGAATATGGCAGCTACGCCGTTAAAGCTACTATGTATCCATCCGCGCGTTAAGCTACTACGTATCCATCCGCGCCTTACTACTCCCTGCTGTGTCGTCACGTCACGATGAAAGCAGGCCATGACAGTACGCAGTTCAATTAATCGTTTCGTAACGCCTTGAAGCCGAAGTTCGTCTAAGCATTATCTGAGTTGAGTCCCTACCTCAAAGAAAACTGATACACATAATATCCTCACGCGTTCTTTACAACATGCATTTAGATAGTTCCCACTTTGACCACCAGATCGCTGTACCGCTGTCTCTTTCGACAGGAATTCGAAGATAAATCTCACAACAGAGATGGGCTACCAAGACTGGTTATTTCGTGGTTCTCGTTAGACACTCCAGACCGTACCTTAAATTAGGTATCAGATTCTGGGTATGCGTTAATTCTATTTTGTCGTGAGATATTTAGGGCTAACTGTAAGAAGGAATAGAACAGAAAATCTAATTTTCAAAATTATTTTACTATTGGTTCACCTGCTATAAAAATTTGAATCCATGCGTAATAGTAGATTATAATTTAACACACAGCTCATGACTAATTACATTATACTTCATATTTAATTATATGAGATTTTTTATTTGTAGTGTTCTGTCTGACGACAGGTCCATATGAACAGGATCCTTCCATCCTTTTCTCGGACTGGGACCTGTTCATATACGTTCTTGGCAGATGATCCAGAAGAGGTTTGCCATTGCCTTCTTCTGTGTGTGAATGGAGTAATTGTTGGGATGCCACGGAGGAAAACTCCGTGTTGCCTAGACCACGGCCTTGCCCAACACAAGTTATAAATCCGGGCACCGCCGGGAAACGAAGTGGGTACCCGGGGTTAAAGCGCCAGGAGCTATGCAACTCCTGGTGACAAGTTTGTTTTGTTTACACCGTCTGAGAAGCGTCGAAGGAAAAACTAAAATGCGATGAGTCAGGAAGAGTGAAATGGTCATGAAGGGACTGACATCTCTATCAAAATATAAAACATTTACGATCGAGGACAAAAAACACGGGGAACATTGCGAACCTGATGAGATATAGGAGGTAATACGGCCATATCAAACTTTTTATCTCCTTGAACCACAAATCGATAAAAAATATCACGAATTCTTGACACTGACACTAAATGGAGTTGAGTGGTCAACTTTACGTCGCTTTAATTCAGAGCAAATAAAAATCTATTATCATCCGTAGGAGAACCAGTGATCGTGAGACATTACGAACTAAATGATATTATTTCACTTTACACAGGGCTACGAAATTCTGACTTTCGTGAATTTGTCCTAGCTCACACAAACACCACCTGGTTCATCGTCATTGTTCCTAGAGCTATGTGACTCAATAGGGTAAAACAAATGCGATAAGGCGACGTTCAAAATTAGACCTTTTCGCTTGAAAGCCCTGACTTTCGTAACCACAGCACGAATTCAATTGTGTCTCCTCTGTAACGAGCAGATGTGCCACAGAACCGTGGTTTCATCCACAGGCATTAATCCTAACAAAACGAGAAGATATTAAAACCTGCTTATTATTAAGTCATATATGGAACCTACACAACTGAGCATCTCAGAAAATGTATTCTCTTTATCACAAATATCTGTTGATATTACATGAATATTTCTCAGATATTGACGTTTGTCGTCATATTAAACATCCTCAGACCCTCAAAGTGTGTGGGGTTAGATGGAATTCCTTCGTTAGTAATTAAGGGTTGTTCTGTTATTTTCACTCCCTTATTAACCTATATTTTTAATTTAAGTGTAACTAGTGCCACCTTTCCGTCCCTGTGGAAAGAAACAGCTGTTGTTCCTGTGTTTAAAAAAGGCAACAGTTCCATTGTTAGTAATTACAGACCCATCTCTATTCTTAATAACTTTTCTAAAATATTTGAACTTATTGTTTATGATCACTTGGAAAAA